GTTGACAAGTGCAAGTGCAATATGGTTGGGCGTGCCATAGAACAGGAATAGCGCCTCATTACGGTATTTGCGGGTCGCGCTACTGTACATCCCACAGATTGACTTTGTGCTTTACGGTGCCTCTCAGGAGTGGCTGCAGACCATAAGCCAATTGGTGTGAGGAGTGTCTCCAACGACACTGACAAATCACTTACCCCCCACCCCTCCGCTCAATTTCCCTTCTGTAAGATTGCCAGGCGTTTGATCAAGATCAGCGAGGCATCGACAGAGGTTCCTCTGTGTGTGACGTTTTCTCGTGCTGCTGCGAACTTCATCGGAAAGAACTGCATGTTGTGGAAGCCTCTTGGTAAGGTGCACCCCGTTCACTAGCTCACCACGTTGGCTGCGTATCTCACCTACTACTAGGCGGCTAGCAGGGGCTCGGACGCTAAGGCTGTTGACTAGGAGTCTGAAGAGGTTGCTAGCAAGACAGTTTTAGACAAGATCCTAGCAAAGCATTGTGCGTCTATATCTACGGGAACATTCGTTGCCATGAGCCTGTTCAAGAGGCAGCCGAAGATGGTGAAGAAGTGGGTCAGATGTCTGCAGCAATGCGTTCTGCAAGGTTTGTGTCGCGACATGTGTTTGCACAGTATAGCTATCGTGTACATTATTGAAACCGTGCTGGGACAGAATCTATGGGGGATAGCAGGCTCGAGGGGAAGAAGTCAATGTTGGTAGAACCGATGATAGATGGCAGCATGGCAGAACGGGTTAAATGCATTGGCATGTGCAAGTGCAGGTGTGGCGAGGCCCAAGTGACAACATAGTTCTCCAAGTTCCCACAAGTCAGGAAGCAAGACGAATAAGTATGTGATACGTAAAACTGATCTCTTCAGTGCAATCTGAATTCCCTAGAGAAACCTAAGTCAAGGAGACAATATAACGAGGATACTTGCTAGGATTCATATGATTTAGTTTGTTGTTTTCTTAACTTGCTTAATATAGAGTATTATTCTTCCACTCATGTAAGCACGGGAAGCCAACCACTGGGTTGTGGGACTTTTTAAGAACCAACTAAAGATGACAGGTTATGGTTCAAGAGATGATTATCGACATCATATCAGATCGGGAACGAGCTATCATGCACACGCGATAGAGCTAGCACGCACACATCGACGCCAGTCTGGAGAGCGGAGAATCAAGATGCGGGCATATCACGTCAACCCTCAACTAGAGGGAGACCAATGGGACAAACACCTGTGGGTACGTCATGACATACGCCGCCCAGAGAAGGATCCGCAACGAATCCGTCGGTGGAGCCTTATGTGACCCTCAAGCAGCGACATAGTCGAGAGGAGGAGGCGGGAACGGGCGAAGGACCTAGAGTGGAAGACAAAAACGCCCATGTCGAAGGGTGGGAACGGATATGCGAGTTGCAGAATAGCCAGTGATGAGCCAAGAAAGGGCTTGAACAGAGCACAGCACGGAGAATGAAGTGGATTCACCAGGTGGCAGCAGCATCCCTCCTTCGCGTTGGAAGATGCGGTAGGGTTCAGCGTTGGGGATGCCCCGCTGCAAGGAAACAACATTTCCTTTATCCGAGTTTTAGTTTGTAAAGCATACACCACTATAAAGGGGTTCCCGTGCTTTTTATCAGGTTCATTCGAGCCGCGTTATCCAATGTGGCCCATCCCGAGCCGCATGCACATTTGTGCGTTTTTCACGTTTCATGCTCATCAAGTGCGCTCCGAGCCCATTTTCCCGCCACATGTCCGAGCTCTGCCCAACTTGCCTGTTTACTTCGCGCCTAGCTATATCCTCATGGTAGGTTGGTTTTGATGTTGCTGATTGTGTTATCTTTCTCGCTAGTGCAATTCCCGATTCTCGCTACTTGGTACTCAAAGTTTAGCCGGTCCCCGGCCAAGCGAAGTTCCGCTGCAATTTTTTTTGGGGGGTGATAATGGTCTGGTTTTCCTAGCAGAACTGCTGATAAGTTGATTCATTAATAATCACCTGCAGCCTCAACCGAGTTTCCCAATTCCAGTGACTCGCCACCACCCCAACCATGGTGGACTGCAGAACTCCTAGGGATGCCGCCTCTACGCCCGACTGAGTTGCAGCCCTGGAGGAGCAACTCAACATGGCAATGGGTGGCATGACTACACAAGGCAAAGCTTCACCAGAGGATTCTGCATTAATCGGTGAAGGACAAAGGCCGGATACCCCTTTTGTCAGGCCCGCGACTGGACGCGAACGACAAGTCGGTGGTACACTAGTGAAATATTCGCTGCAACCGGCCAACGCAAGCAATCCGGCTGGAATATTGAAGATGCAGCTGCTGCCCTGTTTTGGCCCATGTTTCCGAGGATCGACGTCGATGGCATCATGGCTTTTTACCATGAACGTTTTTTGTGACGCGAACCTTATCACTGATGACAGCGCCAAAATCCAATACATGTTGTATTACTGTTACGGAGTGGTGGCACATGACCTTGACCTCGCCCGACGAACTCGAAACACTGCAATGAGTGGACGGGCCACTCCCAAATTTGAACCAATGAGTGGGTAACTTTTGTGAGTCGAACCGGTACAGTACCTGCTAACGTAGAGTGAGGGTATGAAGAAAAGTTTGGTAGAGCAAAATGCCAGCTTTGTGGCGTGACAGAAACTTTGCACCTGGCACCAAGTCGGATTGGTCAAAGACTACAACAGCAGCTTCATCGGCTTATGTGAGCAAGCGGGACGCATGTAAGAGGAAGACAAAATCGACAAGTACATAGAGGGGCTGCGCTCCAATATTTCCAAGAAAATTCAAATATGTGGCATCACGAGCTTCATCAAAATGACTCGCGCCGTGGAGCAGCTGCATTGGTTGAGCAAACCAAATGTGGGGTCCTACGAGGGACAACGCACTTGGGGATCGACAAAGCGCGCCACTGTACACGCCGCCACGCCACAACAGGTATTAACCCGTTCAAGGAGTGCTGTTTTGGGTGCAACCGGCCGGGACACTGTAAAAGTGAATGCCCAGAGGAAAAAAGAAAAAGGGGTAACAAGAAATAGGGGTCCAGCTGGCAGGAAAATGCCAAAATTCAGTTGCTAAAGGGCCTACTACTGACGAGACTAGCTCGCCCGACCGCGGCGACCTTCATCGAGTGATCGTCTTGATCCAAGCGATCAATCACACTCGGCTAAATTAGGAAGGAGGAACTGCAGATTTCCCTGTATTTTTAGAGGGTAGGATTCAGGGGGCCATCGTAAAAATATTCGTCGATGGAGGGGCTTCACACAGTCTGATCAACCTCGCCACGGCAAAAAAAAGAGGGTTTCCTTCTAATAGGTGTTTACCCGAGGTGGACACCCTCTTCGTTGAGGGCACACCACTCACTATCAGGGACAGGATAGAGAAATTGTGGAGCTGCCTTTAGTATTTTCGCAAAGTATGATGGCAACTACACTCGACAGAACAGATGTTTTGCTAGACCAACGGCAGCTGTATTGTTCGGATCGACAGGAACGGGGTTGAGCTGCCATGGTGGAGAAGCTGCAGGGGGTATATTGTAGGTGAATGCAATCGCAATCAAACGGGCAATATCCAACGGCACAAAAGTGTTTCCTGTCATCATCCACGAGTAAGACGTGGCCTCTCCATCATTAGACCATGTGAAGTTGATGGCTGCAGTACCTGCTGACCTGGCGAAGCTGATTTCCAACTTTCTTGATGCTTTCCATTACGATCTCAACTGACCATTCATTGATAGTTCTGCCTAACACAACCATAAATAAAGGACTTATATGAACAGTCAGATTATCTGCATGTGAAAAAAGAAATTTATCCGCCCTAGCTCATCTCCATTTGCAGCACTGAATCTATTTACAATTAAGAAGGGCGATTGTTACAAAGTGCATCGACTATAGGGCACTGACCAAAACACCATCAAGTCGCTTACCTGATTCCACGAGTAGATGAATTGATAGACCAGCTTAGCACAGCACACGTCTTATCGAAGATCGACTTACGAGGGGGTTGCCATCAGATTAGGTCGTCCTAGAGGACAGCAACAAGACAGCCTTGCGAACCTGCTACGATAGCTATGAATATATAGTTATGTCCTTCAGCCTCACGAACGCCCCCACCATTTTTCAGATGTCCATGAACTAAGTTATCCACGCTCTATTAGATAAGTGCGTGATAGTTTACTTAGACGTCATTTTAATTCACAACACTATACGGGAGCAGCATCTGAAGGACCTCGGAGCAGTTTTCACGCTAGTAAATGAGCATCGGCTACTCACAAAGGGGTCTAAGTGCGATTTTTCAATGGACATGCTGGAGTTTTTATGGCACATTATCTCTGCTAAGAATGTGGAAGTAGACCCCAAAAAAGGTAGAGACAGTGTAGGCTTGGCATTCGCCGACGAAACTAGGGGAGCAGCAGAGTTTTCTGGGCTTTGTAAATTACGTGACGGTTTATCTAGAATATGGCAAGGGTAATAGCGCCACTGATTGGCCTTCTTCGAAAAGGGGTGGAGTACAGATGGGAGGAGAAAGAGCAGGCTGCTTTTTCCGCCTTCAAATCCTTTTTGTGTTCACCCCCAGTCCTTCGCATAGCAGATCCTCACCGTACGAGATGACTGGCTGCCGTTCGTCGAGCGACAATCTGGGCACCCATGCAAGAGCATCAGAACCGACCGAGGTGGAGAGTTTCTAGGAGGAGATCTGACTGCGTGGCTCAAGAAACAAGGCATTGAGCATCAGCTAACGACGTCCTATACCCCTCAGTCAAATGGCGTTGCTGAGAGGGCTAATAGGACCATCCTGGAAACTGCGCGAGCGCTGCTGATCGAATCAGGGCTGGGGAACTCCATGTGGCCTCATGCGGTGAGGCATGCTACCGTGGCAAGGAACCGCGTACTCACAAAGGTGGCTGATGATATGTGGGTGCCGCTGGAGAGGTGGCTTGGAAAGAAGCCTCCTGTGGACATGCTTAGAGTGTTCGGATGCATGGCAGTGGCGCATGTCCCTAAACCGTACAGGACAAAGCTTGGAGCATCTGCACTGTGGTGTGTGCACCTTGGGCTTACGGCAGAGAGCAAGGGGTGGCTACTCTGGGAGCCCTCAAAGAATGTGCTGTTTGACAGTCGGGATGTCAAATTTGTGGAGAACATCATGTATGGCGAGTGGGAGAACCAGCCGGAGGCAAGGGTCACCCAGCAGCTGGAAGAGATCACTATGCACTTCGATGTGTCCGAACCTGAGGACAGCGAAGTCACTGCGCCAACGGCAAGCGGTACTGATGAAGGAAGCAATGAGGATATTGCAGCTGATGCTGAAGTCAAGGATCCGGAGCAGCAGCAGCAAGAGCTTTCCAAAACACCAAGTCTGCCAAAGCGAAGGAAACAGATTGGTGGGGGGACAAAGGATTGGGTGAAGTTGAAAGAATGGGTAAATCCAACCATCTACCCTGCACGTACCAGAATGGCAACAAGAGAGCTGCTGAGCTACAACTGAGCAGCAGGAACAGGCTCAAGGCGAAGATGCAGTGCTGTTCTTGGGTGATGACCAAGAGTCAGAGGACGAGGAGCCTGCATACTACTTTTACGCACCAATACAACCTCCGAGCATGGATCATGCGCTAGCCGGGCCTCAACGGGGGAAATGGCTCGTTTCAAGAGATGCAGAGTACAAGAGCCAGATGGAGAATCACACATGGGACCTGGTGCACTTGCCAAATGGGAAGAAGGCAATACAGTGCAAGTGGCTGGCAAAAATCAAGACGGATGAGAAAGGAGAGCCATCAGTTTACAAGAGCAGGCTGGTGGCAAAGGGGTTTCAGCAGAAAGAGAAGGAAGATTACAAAGAAGTGTTTGCCCCAACTGCTAAGTCTCCAACGCTACGTGTGCTGCTGGCGGTAGCTGCTGTGCGCAAATGGAAGGTGAAGCAGATGGACATCGTAACCGCTTTTCTGTATGGCATTGTGGAGGAGGAGTTGTACATGGTTCAACCACCTGGCTATGAGGATGGAACCGGTCGTGTCTGCAAACTTAACAAGGCCATCTATGGCTTGAAGCAGGCCCCGAGATGCTGGTACAACAGGCTGGCCAGTGCACTGGAAGGGATTGGATTCCGTGCGAGTGCATGCGACGAGAGCCTATTCCTGATGGTCGAGGGGGAGTCGCTTGTGCTTTTGTTTGTGTACCACGATGACATCCTGCTCTTCAGTTGCAGTGACAAGGAGATCGATGGGGTGCAGCGGAAGCTCACAGAGCAGTTCAAGTGCAAGTCACTTGGAGAGGCAAGGTACTACCTGGGAATGCACATTGAGCAGGATACTGAACGTGGCTAGCTCAAACTGCATCAGGGACAGTATATCAACACCTTGGCTGAGAAGTACTCTCTGCAGGAAGAACGGGAAGTGGTCACCCCTTTGCCTTCCGATTTTGAACTCATAAAGGCAGCTGAAGGAGAGGGAGTTGAGAGTGAAGACAAGAGGCAATTCCAATCCATGGTCGGGAGCCTACTCTACGCTGCTGTGCATACTCGGCCTGACATCAGCTTTGCTGTGGGACAGCTGACTCGAGTAGTGCAAAAACCAACAGAAGAGCAGTATGGTGCAGCGGAGAGAGTGGTGCGCTACCTCAAGTCATACCCTACAGTGGGAGTACAGTATTTAGCCTCTGCTCAACTCAGGCAAAAGGGAGTTGAAGTTCTCAAAGAGAAGGGGGAGGAGCTCGAAGAAGGAAAGGTGTTCCTTTCCTGTTTTGCTGATGCCACATGGGCTTCTGAACATGAGGATTCATCATCATTAGGTGGATACATCTGCATGTAAGTTGGAGGTCCAAGAAGCAGTCTGAGACGGCACTATCTTCAGTGGAATCTGAGTACATGGCGATGTTTCATGCGGCAAAAGAAATCATCTGGCTAAGGAGGCTCTTGAAGGAGATCGGCCATGAACAGACTTGTGCGACACCTTTGTTCAGTGACAGCGAGGGAGCCATTGCCATGACACGCAATGCAGTTCTTCATGGGTTGAACAAGCACATGAGGATCAAGTGGCATTGGCTGCGGAAGGAGGTGAAGCTTGGGACACTGGATCCGATCTACGTGAAAACTCAGCAACAGCCAGCCGACTTCCTTACCAAGCGGCTAGCGGAAGAGCAACACTGGCGCTGTGGGAGGATGGCAAGAATGTCCTTGAACTAGAGACTGCAAGACAAGCCGACAGTCTGAGGGGGAGTGTGTTGGTGCATATTCGTTTGCACGTCATCCTGTCGTCTGTTCGCATCATTTTGTTGCATGTGTTTTGTGTGCTACGTTGTTTGTGTGGTTTGTTGGGTTTGCATGTCTTTGCATATTCATCTTGTGCCTGTGTAGTTGTGCTTGGATTGTGCATGACGCTGAAAGATACAACATATCTGATTTGCAGATCGTTTCACCGATTGGAGTTTTGGATATAGCTTTTCGAAGGTCGCGAGTTTTGTGGGCGTCATAACGAAGTGCTGCAGAAATTTCCAAGGAGCCATTGAATCATCTGCTTATAGCCTTCTCTAACCAACAGACCCCGTGGTACCCTCTATACCAAACATCGAGACACCCGTGCCCTGGTCGCAGCAATTTGCCGAGGACATCCTCGCAGCCCGAGAAAAACCAGCTGAGGCAATCCGGAAAGCCAACCTGGTCGCAAGCCGACAAGCCGACCGTCATCGACGTGATGTTACTTACAAAGTGGGCGATCTCGTACTACTCGACACTTGCAATTTGCGTCTGCCGATCCCGAGCAAACTCCGACTCCGATTCTATGGCCCCTTTCAAGTGACCAATATGGTGACACCTGTCACTGCTCACCTTCGACTTCCGGTGGATTGGCGTTACTACCCGGCTTTCCACGTCACTCTACTATGATCCTACGTCCCCAGTTCATCGGATTTGGCATGTCAACGCATCGTACCGCAGCTAACGCCCCTGCAAGAACCGAGGACCGAGCACTTGAAGATTCTCGGCCATCGCATCAAAACGCAGCAGAACTTTCAAATGGTCGATTTTCTCATCAGATGGCGCGATCGAACGTTTGAGGATGACAGCTGGGTGCCTCTCGCTGATATAGAATCACACCCGATTCTACCTGATGCATCGATGGCGACTGCTGTTGATGGACGGTGGATGGCCTGGATCTGGAAGACTTCTTCTGTAATCTTGCAAAAGCCTTAGATGGAGACACTGAAGTGCTATACCGAGAAGCGCATGAGGAGCTCCAGCAAGATGGCCACAAAACGGGGCATCCTGAATGAGATCATTCATAGATGTTTCTGGCGCAATTTCAGGAAAATTCAGGCCAGAGCGAATTCAAGAATTTGAAGGATTTGGAGACAGAAGCTGGAGCGAATACGGAAATTCAAAGGACTCGCAAGGAAGACGGGAGAGGCCTGGTGGCTTATTATGGGAGGTTGAAATAGGTGGAATATGGTGACCCAGGGATGCTGATCGGAATTTTTCTCGACAGCGTGGAAAAACTGCTGACCACCAAGGTGAAGCTTAAACTCTACGGTCGTGGCCCCAAATGGACGTTGTGGTAGGTACACAAAAGGACAAAGGAGGTGGAAGCAGGGCAGCGGTACTGGGGAGAGGCGGGAAGAGGGAAAGGGGGTGGGGGGGATATTGTCGGGGTTGGGGCATGGGGGAAATATGCTTCATCAGGAACCTAGCCCAAGAGCGCTTGTATATTCTCCGGGTCCACTGTGTATGTCACTCGTAAAAAATCCGGAATCGAGCTCAAGGAAACTCTTGAATTTAATTGGATACAGTTGATAATCCATAAACAACTAGGCTTGGTGGTGGTGCCCTTGGCAGGGCAATGTTGATACTTTCTGCTCCTCAGCACCACCCCACTAGCTCTCTAGCCTCAACCACCTGCCACTAGGACCTCGAAGCAGTTTTCACGCTAGTGCAGGAGCATCGGCTGCTGATAAAGGGTCTAAGTGTGAGTTTTTAAAAGATCGCTTGGATTTTTTTGGACACGTTATAGTATTTCCACTAAAGGCGTCGATGGACCCGTGCAAAATCAAGACAGTGCAAGCCTGACTACCGCCTACCAACATGCAGGAGCTGCAAAAAATAGAGGGTTCGTCAATTATTTTCGGCGATTTATCCCGAATATGGCCGGGGTAATTGCACCGTTAATTGACCTGCTGTGGAAAGGGAATGAGTATAAGTTGGGGGGAAAGAGCAAGTTGCCTTCTCTACACTCATTTGTGCTCAGCCCTTGTCCTTCGCATCGCCGATTCTCACCGTCCATTTGAAGTTATCACAAACGCCAGCGACATCGCCATTGGAGCAATAGTGTTATAGGGCTTCGGCGAGGCCAATCGCCTACGAGTCACGGAAGTTACACCCGCCCGAGCGAAATTATTCGATACACGACAAGGAGATGTTCGCGATCGTGCACGTCTTCAAAGTGTGGCCGTACTACCGGACGGGCGCAGACGTGACAGTACGAACAGACCGTCGCAGCTTACTGTACATCCGCGCATAGCCACTGCTTAACCCACGACATATTCGGTGGCTGGATTTTATGGAATCCAATTTCCACTATACAGTCACCTACAAAAAAGGGGCATCAAACATTGCAGACCCTCTTTCTCGCCCATCCGCCTGTATTAACGCCATCATCCTCGCCCAAACATCCCCGTTCTTAACTGGCCTATTTGCCTACGGGTACCAGATGACCTATTTACGTCGGCTGCGTACAAACAGCTCGCAGCAGCTAAGGGAATCTATTACGTAAAGGCAGGGGCAGGCCTCATCTGGGTACCAGAGTACAGTTTTTAAGGGGAGTTATTACTACAGGAAGCCCACGATAGTATGGTTTTGGGGCACTTCGGAGTGGAGAAAACACGGCAGCAGTTGACCAGATATTATTTCTGGCCTGACATGCAAGGGGATGTGCAGCACCATGTGGTTTCGTGCAGAACCTGCCAAACCATGAAATCATCGAAGCAGAAGCCAACTGGATAGTTGCAGCCGATTCCGCCGCCTGAGCGTGCGTGGCAGCAAGTAACGATGGACTTCGACACAGGACTGCCTGCCAAGGACGGCTATAATGACGCGATATTTGTCATCATTGATAAGCTGACGAAGATGGCCCACTTTGCCGCCTGCAAGAAAAGCATCTCAGCCAAAGAAACAGCCCGCCTTTTCATCTCAACCGTCGTTCGCCTCCACGGAATTCCATCCGCCATCATTTCGGATCGTGACACAAAATTCACAAACAATTTCTGGCGCAACCTTTTGGAACAGTTTGGCACGCGTCTACAATTCCATTCCGCCTACCACCCCGAGATTGACGGACAGACCGAACGGGCCAATTAGACGATACAGCAGCTAATTCGAGCCACCTGTGATGACATGGCCGACTGGAAGCAGCTACTGCCACTGATTGAGTTCGCGTATAATAATGCACCGTCAGCCACTATACGACAGTCACCAAAACACTACACGACAGTCCTGAGGTAATCGCCCTAGCTCGCCAACCTCTATATAACCTCGTGCCTTCATTGCAATAGCGACGTTGTATTCTTACGCTAACTTTCATTGACACTTCCTATATCATAACAGGTTGTATCAGAGCCACTTTCCAGGAACCTTCCATTTTCCCGTTTACTCAGTTAAAGGTGGTCAGAGGGGGTTAGCACGGCTGCACAGCAGTTGTCTTGGATCGTAAACATATTTACGTCAACAACTACAGCGTGTGCACTAGCATCTGCCCCGTCCTGACCGCCATGTGTAAGAAATAGAGTTGAAATGATTGATTAGGTAAGGAGCCCAAGGCTCTATAAGAACATGGCAAGGTGAGAGTGAATGGATGAAGGGGGAATTGGAGGGAATCCCCATTGGGATCTTCGGAATCTCCAAATACAAAAGTGGTATTTGCAGTCTATTCCTAACACACCCCCATAGACTGCAAACCGGGTCAAGGAGCACATAGCTCCATGGAACGGAGAAGGTGATGGTGGTCAGCCTTACCGAGAGCCTTGGTAAAGAGGTCGGCGAGGTTGCAATCTGAGGCGATGTACTGTACCGTTAGCTGGTCACTCTGAACAAGATCTCGGATGAAGAAATGACGAAGTTCGATGTGCTTGGTGCGAGAGTGGAACACAGGATCCTTGGTGAGGTGAATGACACTCTGGTTGTCACACCACAGGGTGGGCGACTGCTGGGGGTAGCCTAACTCAGCGAGGAGAAAGGAGAGCCAGCGTGCCTCTTGAGCAGCCATTGTGCCCGCGTAGAGCTCGGCCTCGCAGGACGACAGGGAGACTGCAGAGGACCGAGTGGAGCGCCAGCTGATGACTCCGCTACCAAGGGTGAAGCAGTACCCTTGGGAGGAGCGTCTGTCAGTCTGGTCATCGGCCCATGAGGAGTCTGTGTATGCCTCGAGCTTGACTGGAGAGGTACCACCAAGAGTGAGGATGTGAGACTTGGTGGCTTGTAGATAGCGGAGGACCCTCTTAGCTGCAGACCAATGCGAGGCAGGCATCAGGAGAAGGAACTGAAGGGGCCGTGAGCTGATGCTGTAGTGGGAGTGGAGTGGAGACAGAGTTACTGGAGTCCATGTCGAACCGCTTGAGAAGGTTGTCGATGTAGGACTCCTGGGAGAGCGTGATCGTGCAAGCCTGGCGGTCACGAGTGATCTTCATCCCCAGGTAGTTCTTGAGGTCACCAAGATCCTTCATGAGAAGGGCGGAGCTGAGAGCAGACTGGACAGCTGCCATGTCGGCTGGATCTCTGGCGGCTAGAATGAAGTCGTCGACGTAGACGAGGATGTAGAAGGGCTCGGAGGAGTGACGAACGAAGAGACCGGAATCTGAGGCAGAGGGATGGAAGTCAAGTGCGAGGAGGACTTCCTTCACCTTGTTGTGCCACTCACGAGGAGCCTGCTTGAGGCCATACACTGGGCGCTTCTGCTTCCACACTGTGTTGGCAGGGTAA